AATGATGACAGTTTTGTGAGACAACTTTTTCTGTGATGCATAACAATTTCTAATATCTGAAAAGGTGTTTGGGTAAAGGTTATTCATGAATATCTTGCCTTGTAATATTTCTTAACTACCTTTCTAATCTGATACATTTAGCAATGCATTGGGGCACTTTCTAATCAAACAGACTGTAGTACATTGTCATCTTTTCTTATAAATTGTGAAACTACCAAAACGTGTCCGCTCACATTGGGTAACTTTGTATTGGAATAGTTTGGTTCACGGTGAAGAAAACATAATGAGAATATGGTTTAAACATATTTGTATTCCGTCAATGCAGAAACCTGGATAGGCGAACAAGCCTAGTGGCTTATATAAACGCCGCTCCAGTACACGGTTCCAATATAGCTGGATACATAATTGAAATAGTCCGACAAGAAAAGAATAATACTGAGACAAAATTACACTCAGAAAAATGATTGAATAATAAATATTTGGTTATGGTGTTGGTTGTGCCTAGCAACGAAATGAGCTGCCGCAGAAAAGCAAGTTATATAAATTTTGTCTTGCATTGAATATACATGTATATGTAGAGGTGATAATCACTGGAAGCGCTTAATTTTAGAAATGAACTGGTGTAATGAGTTGAGAATGTCACAATTTGTTGAGTTATCCAATGCACCGTTACCGTATAAGGTAGTTTTCACATCGTATCCTTGAATATAAAAATACCCAGCTGTTCTTAAATTTTGATAGTTCCGACATGTAAAAAGGTAGTGAATGACGTCTTCGTTATAATGACCACATGAACACTTAGCTGTTTCTGATATATGTCGATTATATCTGTCTGCGTTCAGATCACTACAGCCGAGCTTGAGGCGACAATGGATAATTTGACAAAATCTAGTCCCAAAATTTAAATCAAAGTAGTTGTGGGTTTCTTTTGAATTTATCATGGTTTTAAACTTTCTCACGGAAATAGTGTTAACAGCTCCATCGGGCAATGAATTCCACGACATAATTGCGCTCGGTAAAAATGATTGAGAATATCTTTGTGCTCTACAGTTAGTAGTTTGAATAGAAGTACTATCTCTAAGATTATAGTTGCTTTGTTGAAATACTCTACCTGGTACAAGATCATTCAGATAACCAGGAGTCAGACGATAATGCATTTTATAGAAAGTTATAAGTTTAGAGCGATATTGTCTTTGTTTCAGTGTGCTATAATTGGTTTCCTTGTATATTTTATCATGACTGGGGCCACGAACCGCACCGCATATAGTTCTTAATGCATCTAAGTGTAAATTTTCCAGTAAAATCGCCTGTTCAATTGTACAATTATCCCATATATGACTGCAGTAATCAAAAAGTGGTAAGAAAAAGGAGTATTTAACTTTCCAAGAACAATCGCTTTGAAGTGTTATACCTAAGTGTTTATGGTTATCAACTTCTTTAATAGTTTCGCCATTCATTAGTAAGTTCGGACTGGCATAATTTTTCGTTTTACGAATGAATGTTATACTTTCAGTCTTACTAGGATTAAAACTTACCTGCCACTTTCTGGCCCAGTCTGAAATTTTTGCCAAATCATTGTTTATAATTGCAGCTGCTGTAATATGATCATCTATTATAGCATATATTGATGTATCATCAGCAAAAAGGCGAATGTTACTGTCTATACCATCTACAATGTCATTAATATAAATGATGAACAGAAGTGGTCCTAAAACGGAACCCTGGGGTACACCAGCTTCCACAGATTTGATACCTCAACAATATCCATTTATTACCACTTTCTGCATTCTACTATCTAAATAACTTTCAAACCACTCCAAAAGTTCTCCCCATATACCATAAGCATAAAGTCTATGAATAATACCTTTGTGCCAAACTTTGTCAAAGGCTTTACTTACATCACAGAATACCGCTCTGATTTCCTTTCCTTGGTCTACGGCACTTGCGATAAAATTATAAAGATAAGTTAGTTGATTTACTGTAGAATCACCAGGCATAAATCCAGATTGTAAGTTTGATAAAATATTGTTATCCCTGAGGAAGTTGAAGACGTATTTAAAAACGCATTTTTCAAGAACTTTAGCAACACAGCTTAGCTTGTTAACGCTACAGGTCTATAGTTTGAGCAATCATGTTCATCACCTTTCTTATGAAGTGGAATCACCGAAGCTAGTTTCCAAGAAGTAGGATACGTTTTATTACGAGGGGGGATGTTGAACAGCTTAGCTAACAACGGGGTTAGAGAGGTTGAAGTTAGTTTCAGTATGATGTTTCCAATGCCATCAGGCCCCGTGGCTTTATGAGAATATAGTGACTGTATCAACAACAAATTCTCTCCAAGTGATCTGAGTTACATTGACCTAGTGTTAAGCATAGCAGAGTTATGCCCCCTTATCTTTATACATGTCTGACCTCTCTGTCGTCATTTGATGTCACAGAAGAAAATCCATTTTCAACATTTATTGTGAGTCATTTTAAAGATTGAGCGTATAATGTTATGCATAAGCACACAAACCCATTTCATATTTACTTATGTCATTCCGATATCTGGCCGTATTTTCTTCGCTCACCCTGTCCGTGAAGATGCCAAATTAAATCAAGAGTCATCAGAAGATGACATATCCCCCCGGCCCCCACATCTTTGAAAGAACAAATCATCTGACAGTTACTTAAAGTCCACCTTGATTTTATACTAAGTGCAAATCGTTCCATGGAAATCATGGAAAACATAAATGACAAATATCTGCAAATAGCAAAAGGCACCACTTCAAGATCTGCCTCACATATCTGCTAAGTTTTGCTGAAAAATATTAAGAAGTTTTTGAGTTGTGCTCCGGAAACAAAACCTACCCCTCCCTTTTGAGACTAAGTCTGAATCGTTTCCATGGAAACCAAGAAAAATAAAAATGAGAAAAATCTGCAAATAGCAAAAGGCATCACTTAAGGTTCTGTTTCATATATCTACCAAGTTTTGTTGAAAAATATTATATGGTTTTTGAGTCGTGCTCCGGAAACGAAGCCCACCCTGCCTTTTGGGATTAAGTCTGAATCGTTTCCATGAAAATCGGGAAAAATAAATATGCCAAATTCTGCCAAATAGCAAAAGGCACCACTTTAGGATCTGTTTGATATATCTACCAAGTTTTGTTGAAAAATATTGAACGGTCCTTGAGTTATGCTTCAGAAACGAAGCCCCCCCACACACCTTTGGGACTAAGTCCGAATCGTTTCCATGAAAACCGGGAAAAATAAAAATTCCCCAAATCTGCAAATAGCAAAAGGCACCACTCAACGTTCTGTCTGATATATCTACCAAGTCTTGTTGAAAAATATTGAATGGTTCTTCAGTTATGCTCCGGAAACAAAATGATTACGGACAGACGGACAGACGGATGAGCATCGACTATATCCCACCGCATTACATGCCAGTGGGATAAAAATTCTAGCACAGTGCTTTTATCGGTGCACGATAAAAAGCGGGGAAATTTACTTTTTTTTACGTTTAACAAAATTTTGTACACCATTTAGCAGTGTTTATTTCTAAAACCATTGAGGTATTTGCACTTCTTTTTATACCAATGGATAGGAAATGTAATATTCTACATTTCTTTGTAATATCATAGCCGTACGCAGATCCAGGACCACGCGAGCGCAATTCTCACACAACATTCATTTTTCAAACCTTATGAAAATGTGCGCCTGAAAAAAAAATAAAACAAGAAGACAAAGTTATCAATATCCCCCAAAATGGCAAAATACTCTTCATGATTATGTCTACGAGTTATGATTATGTCAAATATTTAGGTGTGTATATAGAAAAGTGGAAGGAGAGTATTGAAAGGTTTTTAAAGTTCTGCTCCAGAAAGGAGCACTATCACCAATTTCAGTCTATGTCAAACTTGTTGCCATGGAAATGCCAAAAATATTTTATTCAGAAATCAAAAACTACCAAAAAGCACCAGTACACCACCAGATCTATGTATGTGCCAAGTTTGGTGAAGAAATAGTGAACGCTTTTAGAGTTCTGCTCCGGAAAAGAGCACTACCACCAATTTCAGGCTAAGTCAAACTTGTTGCCATGGAAATGCCAAAAATATTTTATTCAGAATTCCAAAACTACCAAAAGGCACCAGTACACCACCAGACCAATCTATGTGCCAAGTTTGGTAAAGAAATAGTGAACGGTTTTAGAGTTCTGCTCCGGAAAAGAGCACTACCACTAATTTCATTCTAAGTCGAACTTGTTGCCATGGAAACGCCAAAAATGTTTTATTAAGAATTCCAAAACTACCAAAAGCCACCAGTACACCACCAGATCTATCTATGTGCCAAGTTTGGTGAAGAAATATTGAACGGTTTTAGAGTTATGCTCCAGAAAAGATAAATGTGCACGGACGGACAGACGCACGGACGGAGTCCATTTTAATACCCCCAGCAAAACTTGTTGCGGGGTATAAAAGTCTTGGCATCCAGGGGATTAAAGAAATCTCCTTAGTAACCACCAGTTACTTCCAACAGGCCTTTTGAAAAAAAAAAAACACACCAAAAAACAGGTTGCCTTGTAGCAGTTCCTGTCCTTACATGAGATACCAGACGTGGGGCCAGTCGCTCTGGATCAGAGTTCTAATGTTACTGCTTACCTGTCAGTCACATACTACCAATAGAAAGCATTTTCACTCATATAAACACATGTTACTATGAACATGTATACAGGTTGTAAAAACAATATTAGTAACAAATACTAGTACAGATTCTGAATCCTGATTTCATCAAAACACAGGAAATTAAAAAAAAACACTATAAAAACTGAAAATATGAAAAGGCAATATTTCTGTAGGAGGTTATTTCATATGCACATGTACTTATGTAGTACAAAAATATTCATTAGTTTCAGAGTCTTGGCATTATTGATTGTTGGAATACATTGTTGGATTGAAAGTTGGCAAATGATTAACTGAATTGTGAACTAGTTTATTTTGTTCAAATTTTGTCATAATCACCTGTGATAACACCTTTTCAAATGCATCAAGGAGTGTGGCGTTCCACTCATGAGACAGTGATGGTGAGTTGACTTGCAGTGTGATCAAATCATTCCACACCTGAAATATAAAATATAAGTGTGATAATTTTTCAAAATGGAACTGTTTGATCAGTAGCCTTTGAGGTCTCTCACATTCCAGGTGCAGTCAATGAATGAAGACAAAATGCAAACATTGTAATTATGACCAAAAAGTAACAAAAATATTATCAGGCAGTTACTGAGTTAAGGGAAAATATCTGTCTCTGACCACAAATAGGAGTAATATCCCATACATATCTGGCTGTACAAAGAAATTTGTTTGATGTCACATGTCTTTGCATTCAAAAATATCTAAGCATGTTCATCTCTCAACTGATCATGTAAGTTTGTCACAGCTGTTACACATCAGTGTCATGTCTCATCAATCACCTAAGATAGCACACCACATCTATTTTTATGATATCCATGGTTCTTTAAAAAAAAAAAATTTAGTTAGACAACCGTGAGCACTCAGTCAACACATTACCAGCTAATCCTTTGAATAAAGTGTGTTGTTTTTGCATAGGTGCTGAGATAAAGGTGTATTCCATCTACAATTGTGAACCTATATAAACAATTCTGAAAGTCCACTGTGCAAGATTGTAACTTATTATCAGTTCATCTTTTGATTTTGTTTTGTAACTCAACAGGTCATTCCTTTCATGTTGCACTGTGATGTGCCAATTCCATAACATGTAAGATTTTTACCAATCTGGATTGAATGACACCAGATATGCTAAATGCCCAATATGAACCACTGGTCATATATCCTTGACAACCTCAGAGGCAGAGCTGAACTTCATTGAGTTATTTTGCATAGTCAAGGTTATCCAAGTGCTGCCACCACTAATTAATACTTGTAATAGAGTCCGTAATTGTGCAATAAAGTGAATGACTACAAGAAGACAAAGTCATCAATATCCCCCGCAATGGCAAAATACTCTTCATGATTATGTCTACGAGTTATGATTATGTCAAATATTTAGGTGTGTATATAGAAAAGTGGAAGGAGAGTATTTAAAGGTTTTTAAGTTCTGCTCCAGAAAGGAGCACTACCACCAATTTCAGTCTATATCAAACTTGTTGCGACCGCCTCCATCGTGTAGTGGTTAGAGCGTCCGCCCAGAGAGCGGAAGGTTGAGGGTTCGATCCCCGACCGCGTCATACCAAAAGACGTTAAAATATGGTACTTGTTGGTCCCTGCCTGGCGTTTGGCATTAATGGGTACAACAAGGACTGGTCGGCTCGGAGTCAGTATAATGTGTCTGAGTGGGGTATCCATGCTTCACTGTGGCATGGTATCTCAGTGGGCTAGCACTATAAAACCAGCTTAAAGAACCACTAAACTTTGTTTTTTGTTACTCTTTTAACCATTACATATGAAAGATTTGTGGTTAGTCTTATGCGGAACACCAAATTTAGTCTTTAAAAACTTGTGGTTAAGTAATACCGAGCGATTAAAAGTGGCCAAAAAGTCGCCTGCTTCCCTCTCGACCGCCAACGAAACCACAGACAGGTTACGTAACTCTGTCGCCAGAGCACTGCAGTGACGTCATATGAGGAACGATTTTCAGTTAGTTGTATAGAAAATGTGTAGCACGCCATCATTTTGATGATTTCTCGACATCAATCAACGGCGACATGCGAATCGTTGCTTTGTCGCCAATTGCTCCTAGGGTCGGGCGATGGTGTCCCCATGCACAGATTTCCACAGGACCCGCAATTAATTGCGTGCTAAATGGGTTATGTTTGTGAGTGCAAAGCGAAGCGTTGTGGAAGCCTGAAACGATATCTTACTTGTGTTCAGATCGCTTCACGGAAGTTAAAGAATCAAAACTACTTACTAGTTGTAGTAAAATATGCATATGATTGATGACCATAAAGATTTTCTATGACACAACTTGTAACATAACGATTTCTTCCTCGGAAGTGAGGTTGTGGTTGAAGTAACAATAATATTGTAAGTAGTATTATATTGACACCCACCTCGCTGCCACGAGAAATTGTTATGTTATACTATATGTCATGCAAAATCCTATTGGTTATCAATAAAATACATATTTTACTACCAGTAGAAAGTAGTTTTGATTTTGGAACTCGGTGAAAACAAACCTAAATACCATTTATCCTCAGACTGGCGGATGTTCCCGACAGGGCGCCGCCATTTTTAAAAATAAAACAATCTGTTAGAATTAATGAGATTATAGTTTGTTTTCATCAAGTTAGAAAATCAAGACTACTTTCTACTCGTAGTTAAATATGTATTGGAATCATAACCAAGAGCATTTTGGATGACACAACTTATAACATAACGATTTCTTCCACGGAAGCGAGGTGGGGGTCGAAGTCACAATACTGCGCGATAAATTTCTTGCTACATTCCCAATGTCCACTCACCAGTATGTAGATACTAGTCAATGTGCGTCTTTATATTTGGTCTTATAATCCTAATTAGTTTATTATCATACTTGTATGCATTTTGATACTAAATAAAAAGCAGACGATCTGCTGATGCTTATAGTGAATTTATAACAGAACTGTAATAGCTAGACATTTTATAGTTTGCCAATGTGAATCATAATTCGCACACACACCCTAGTGCATGTTGTCTGTCTCATTACACTTCACGGCGAAAACAATGATTCTGTTGAATGCTACGACAAATGAATAAAAACAAAATGCAAATATTAAAATTAAAACAGATTAAAGTTATAGGAACAATATCAGGCCATTACCTTGTTCGAGGAATGTATCCATCAATATCCACAAAACTGTTCCAAATGATGTGTCTTTTAACAGTTTAATATACGAAAGAGTGATAAATCTTTTCAGGTATTGGTGTATAGTCTCTTTGGTCACCCAAGATAGCACACCTGGCAACTACCGGTAATTGCATAATGTCCGCCTGTCTTTAAAAACAGTAATTTAGTTAGCCAATAATGGGCAATCAATCAATGTATTGCCGGTTAATCCTTTGAAAGAAGGACGTTGTTTTTACGCAGACGCCGACACGACAGAGTGTATTCAGTATAGATTAGTAAATCTACATACATAAACACTACCTTTTGACAATTCCGCTGTGTAAGATAAAAGTAATTAATCAATCAGCGTGTTATCGGTTAATCCTTTGATCGATGTTTATAATGTTGAATATTTACTCCAGACACAAGAAATGCCAAATGGGAACCTTTGTCGGTAATCTAAGTGTGTTACCACTAATTATACCTGTTATAAATTCATTAACTGACCATCAAGTGAATGATGACAAATAACATGTGTAGGTTTATACCACCTAACACGACGAGTTACAACAAGGGAGTATTAATTGCTGTATTGCATGTGAAAACTTATGGGCCGACACTGTTTTGAAAATACAAACAGATTTTTTACATGACATGATTAAATATCGAGGTAAAAAACACAGAAATGGGATCAATTTGGATCAGTCATTATACAAATAGGGCCTAACGACACCAATCGATTTTCACAGAATCGCCTATGAAAACAAGTTGTAACTCGGAAACTAGGCAAAGCAGGAGACAAAATTAAATGACAGTAGATTGTGAGAACATATAGCTTTCATTTTTTCCACAACAATTGTCACGATTTCAGGTTTATACAAGCCTGTAAACAAGATAATTTACCCCCTGAAATGTAGATGAATTCTGCATCGGCCCTCAAAGCTATTCCTCATATGACGTCACAGAGGCGCGCCGCTCTGATTGGTTGAAATTTCGTTCGCGGGTGAGAATTGTGCACTGTTGTCAAAAAGGTCGATTTAAGTCAATTAAAGGTCGAAATGAGTAGTTTTAATGACGGGGTTTCATTTATAACGATGCCAGTTAGTGATTTATGTATTTGTACCCCCTAGGGTTTATGTGACCTTTAAGTCTGGGCTAGTACAAGCAGCCGCACTCATACACACACACACGCATGCACGTCGTCATATGAGCGAAATATTCTCAAGCACGACGTTAAATCCAATTTCACCTCACCTCACCTCAAACTTGTTGCCATGGAAATGCCAAAAATATTTTATTCAGAATTCCAAAACTACCAAAAGGCACCAGTACACCACCAGACCAATCTATGTGCCAAGTTTGGTAAAGAAATAGTGAACGGTTTTAGAGTTCTGCTCCGGAAAAGAGCACTACCACTAATTTCATTCTAAGTCGAACTTGTTGCCATGGAAATGCCAAAAATATTTTATTCAGAATTCCAAAACTACCAAAAGGCACCAGTACACCACCAGATCTATCTATGTGCCAACTTGGTGAAGAAATAGTGAACGCTTTTAGAGTTCTGCTCCAGAAAAGACAAATGTGCACAGACTGACGGACGGACGCACGCACGGATGGAGTCCATTTTAATACCCCCCGAAAAATGTGTTGCAGGGGATAATTATACGGGTGTAGGGCTTGTACGATAAGTATACTGATCTGCACAAGACAGAGGTTTCTTAAACCACACGCTTTAATTTGCTCTAATGAACAATCAAAACAGAGGATTGTGTTGACAATTATGGTTAACACATGTTCGGGAATCACATTTAGAGTTCACACAAACAAATTCACCAAAAAATGGTACCACTAAGATACCTCAAAGTCAGTATCGTGTTGGCCTCCATTGGCATCGATGACGGCATTGCGTGGTCTGTACGTGGATTTAATTAGCCGGTTATTGAAGGCCATAGGCACTTGGGTCCATACTCTGCTTAATGTCTGATCGAGTCCAGCCAGAGTTGTCGGACTTGGTTGAAGGTCATTCTGTCTTCTTTGAATCTCGTCCCAAAGGTGTTCTATTGGACTTAAATCTGGACTGAGTGCTGGAAGATGTGATTTCTGCGACGTTCAAAATGTGGTACAACGTGTGGTCTTAGGACTCGGTCAGTATGACGAGCAGCTGTCACGCCATTTCTTCATCCTGGACCGTGATTCTGGAACACCATGGGGCCAACTCCCTGGTTCAGATCGATTGCACCCCACACCATGATGCTTGGACCACCCCACGAGTCTCTTTCAACAATACACGCATTAAAAA